TCGTTTTCCTCTCATACTTGTAGTGCAGTCTTTGCATTTTTCCCATACAAAAACTTGAAAAGTGTCAGTGACAGAGATTACATTTGCAAATGTGTAGCTCACATGCATGAAAAGGACAGAGACCTTTTATGATATTTTAGCACAAAGCAGATTCACCCCAGAACTAGAAATCCCAGAAAGCAGAGGACATATAATGTCTTTTATTAGAGGTCTCTGTCTTATAATCAGCTTATTTTGGTACTATCTTCAAAGATCTTCACATGCATTAACAAAATAACTTCTCAATACCTTGTGATGTTCTGAAAACTCAGAAATAGATGTATGTTAAATCACTTGCACCTCATTTCAAAAAAAAAAAAAAGAGGGTCAGAACAGGTTCCAACCCTGACACTTCAGAAGTACAGACCATGCTGTCCCTTCCTCATCTTCAGTATCTGTTCCAGATAGAAATAGAAGCAGAATAACTTAGATAATTTGCCTTAAACCAATTCCCAGTGATGTATCCAAACCACCACAAAGCAGGGATGGGCACTGCTTGGGGAAGACTGTTCTGGTTTTGTAGCTTTTTGCTGCCTTTTTGAAAGGGAATGTTTTGGAAGAGGCAAATACCCAGATTCGGTGTATGGGTTGGTCATTAAGCTCTCCTACAAAAGCTTCTTGCTTGCAGGGCTTTTTCAGGTTTACTGTTTTAGTGGCAGTTTAATTGCATGCTCTCTGGTAGTGCGTCTAGCACTTTGCTACGGTTAGTGCAGCATCAGGAAATTATTCCATTTCCAAATTCGTGGTTGCTATATCCTTTTTGTCCACTAAGGGGCAGCTGGAGCCTTGTATGTCAATCTGCAACTGTTTGAAAAGTAGCTTACGAATTGTTTCCTTTTCTTGTCCTTCATAACATTCTATAAAGACGGTGTCTTGGGAAACTTACATTTGTTGTATTTTGCCCAGTTGTTTCATCTTTCAGTAGCTCCTCTGCCACCTCACAGCAAACCCTCTGTCATTAAGGCTCATACATGTCTCGGCTGTGAGAGTTCTAGAGGCAACTCATACTAACAGTTTTCTTTGTATTCGCATTTCTTCCCGCATCCCTTCCCTTCCCATTTTAATCAGTTTTAATTTTAAAATAAGTTGCTTTATTTAGTGCATGTCATATATGTTCTTGGGACTTAGTTAATTTTGCCAGTCTTGCACCTCTGTGCACACAGTTACTGATTGCCTTAAACTTTGCTGCTATACAGCAGTTCTCTGAAACTGCAAGACTGCTTAGACTATTTTAATCTGCCTGCTGGAGGGACAGTAGACTCACAAATACCTGAAGTAGAGAGAATCTTTTCTCTTCACTCCCTCAGTCTAAACTTGAGAGCATGTGATCTTCAGAGTAGGAGTTGCCAACAGTTCAGATACTGGACCCTTTCTGCTTTGTTTTGTCAGCAATGAAGGGAACTTTGATCACAGAATTTCAGTTAAACTTACTTATTAAGGAACCCTCCAGATTTCAAGGCTTTCATTTAAGCCATGAAAACAACCCGTATCGTAGAGCTTCTTGTGGCAATCTCCTTTGTCTGCGTTTATTTCATTTTACTTACAAGTAAAATAAGTTGAATCAAATGAAATCCTGATTTAATGCCAGTCAGTGTCTCTGCAAGGATTTAGTACTCTGTAAAATCATATTTTTAATGCATTCAGATAAATTTTCCTTGGTGTTCCTGCCAGTCAGTTTCTGAAAAACTTCTGTTCAAAGTCATTCTACTTTGAAAGTGGAATAACTACCTCAACAATCTGCATGCATGAAGAGTACCTATGTGTGAAGTTAGTATGTAGAATCTAGGCTTTTATAAATTACCATTTTAACTTACTTTTTACAGACCTCTTTTCATGGAGGAGTTTGAAATTAAGTGAACTTAAGTGATTTTAATAGTCACTGTCTTTCTGATATAGAGTGCTTACAAAGGAAATTACCAATCAATTAAACTGGAATTTTATTTCATTTACTGTAACTTTCTTGAGTGTTCTCACAGAAAATTGCCTAAAGACAAAGCTGACCATATGACAGCTGCATTTTCTGACTGTTAAAAAAAAGTCACATTATATTTGATGTACAAATTAGAATTGCTGGTATTTCGCAAACTCCTTAGTAGATTAAGACTTGATCTTATTAACAGTCAACAGTGACATTGGTTCTTTCTGTTGCTTTTCTCGCTATGGTTTTCCTAGAGTTAAACTTGACTCTGGGAGGAATGGGATTCTGAGCCAGTCATGGCTGTTCATGCCACGTCTGAGGACTGTACAAAGGTCTATTTACCTAGTTTGTTTATTTAGATTATAGAAATGAATTATGAAGTCTCATTTGAGTACTAGTTTTTAAGCACCTGTTCCAGACAATTACTGATCTTCTGAGCTGAATTATCAAAGACCGAGTGCAAAGAATAATGTGGGGATAGTAGAGGTACATTCTCATTCTGTTTCCTTACAGAATTCTAACTCTAGATTTTTAGGCATACAGGATTTAGTGACACATCTCGTATTAAAGCAGTGTGTGGAGCAGTGAAAGAGCACTGAAGACCTAAAATGTGCATGTCATCACTTGCTAGCGGTCTTGTCTGTAAAAGCTCTAATGAACCAGCTGCTGCAGCTGCTAACGTGCTGGCCTGACTTAGGGTCGGTAGCTGCCAGGGCTGGAGTTCAATGTTCTGTGCCATCCTCTCCTTTCTGGTACTTCTATTACAGAGTTTAAGAAAGCAAACTTCACCCATATGTAAGCTGTAGCAGTACTAGGTATATTAAATGTAAGCTGCATTCTGCTACTCTAATGATGCTTCATTGTATTGTGTTAATTGCAGTTTCAAGTGCTTCACAGTTTGCAGGAGTAATTCACTGGATCAGCCTAGTCATCCTGTCTGTTTTCTTTTCAGAGGTATGTATAATTGAAGTCTTTCACCATGTACAGAACTGCAAATTTTTTCTTATGCTGTCAGTGGAATTAGCAAGAGTTTAACAGTAATTTGATTGTGAATAAATGTAGCATGGGGTACTTTAAGGAAATGATAAAAGGAAAAACAAAATAAAACAGTTGCTGCTTCTGCTCAGCAAACTGAAAAAACGTTTAGATTAGCGCTGTTTGTCAGTTGCTTAGAATTGTCAAGGAAACATGAAAGTTATAGTCTTACAAATTATAACTGGAAAACTACAAAAAAGAAATAATCAACTTCAAATCACAACAGGCACAGGACAGGACTAGTTTCACCCATTTGTTCTCACAGAAATATAAGGTATAAGATATAGGGGTTATAAGGAAATAGGGTATAATGTATCAAAATAAGTTATATGCTTCAGGAATAAAGATCCACAGGGGTTTTTTTTGCAAAGAGATCTTTTTTAAGAATGGAATTATCTCCTCTCAGAATTTATGTAGGTATTATAGGTGTTCTAGGTTGCTGCACATAGGCACAAGAAGAGAATGAAACAAATGGTGAATTTCTTAGCAAAAATTTGTATGAATTAGAAAAGGCTGTAGTCATGATACAACAAATGACCATATTGGGATAATCTGTTATAGTTTTCAACTTTATTCCAGAAAGAAGTCGTTAGTATTGAGATACTTACACTGCTCGTGAAATATCCCAAAATGTTAAGGCTGTTTTTTCAGGTCATAATGTGTTAGTTGTTGCAAAAAAGTTTTGTTTGTTAAGTTGGAAGACAGCTTGGACTTAAATATTTTATACTTGGATGAAAAAGTACTTTATGTTAAAGTCTTCACTCTGTGGTAAATGAAGGTTACAGGGGAAAAAAAATCAAACCAGGAAGCTGTGGTATCTGCAAATGATTTGATGGATCACTTGTGCTGAATTGATACTCACCATATTATACCCCTGCTTATGTCCATGGCTTTATTACTCATGTACATTTATTTACGTATATAACTTTGTATTTCTACTCATAACAGGAATTTTCTAGGTAGTGTTGCCAGACTCTTAGTAGGTATTTTCTGAAAGGATTCCTTAGTAACAGGCAGGGAGTCTCAAGACTGCTTTGCATCCTACCCTTCTGGTGCTGACAGTTACACAAATAGATACGATTAATTTCCTTATCCTTTGATAGTGATTGTGGGTTGCAGGATACATGTAAACTGACTGAAAAACATCTCTAAACAATTAAAACATTTGCAGAGTTTTTCCTGTGTGAATTGTACATCCTGATCTTGAAGACTCAAGTTTGCTAGATGGTGTCCATTCCCTGTAAAGAAATACTTTCCTCTCTCCCTCAGAATCTTTCTTCAGTGGGGATTAGCATCCTGGGACTCCCTGTAATCCTGAGCTTCCAAACAGGATCAGCTTGTCACTCTGCTACTAGCAGCACGGCTGCACATAGATTCCCATCTGATCTTCACTGCTTTCTTGAGCCTGTTTCACAGGAAGAACTTCTCCTGTGGTCCTCAATTTCCTTCTGCTGGGGTATAGTCTTGAGTTCTCTCTCCATTCACTTGTACCACCAACCACTCTTCACAAACCCTAATGTAGTGCCTTGCTGCTGTATCCCTTCCATAGTCCAGTTCATATGCTGACAGTTTTTGGTTGGTCTGTGGCAGTTCAAACAGATCCTGAAGGGCAGTACTCATCTGTCTCAAGGAAGAAATTAGCTGTTTCAGTTCTCCTGAGACAGGGTACCCACATAAGGGCATGAGCTGGTTCAGAAGTGTTTTGCAGAAAAACAGTAACAGAAATACTTCAGAGCTAAAACTGTCTCACCATCCTCATTTTGAATCTGGTGGCTCTTCTCCTTTTTGTATTAGGAACTAACTTTTTTTTGTCTACTTGCTGTTCTCTTTTTTTTATATAAACCTCTTACTACTCACTAACTTTTTTGTATTCTAAAGTCTCTTCCTTCACCTAATTGATTATGGTTTGAATTTACACCAAAGAAAATTGAGGGCACACGGCAGCTATGTAAGGTGCGCAGAGGAGGGTAGATTTTTGGATATTGGTTCATTTGGCTTAGAGTCTTTGTCTGGGTTAAAGCAACAAAGGTGATTCCACAAAGCACCTGGATGTGCTTCAGGGACCGCAGATCTGGAAGAGAATGAGGGTATACCCTTCCTAATGGGTTTGCTGGGTTTCACCTTGTGCCAGGTTGGTTTAATGAGCAACAGCACATCTATTGGTGCTCAAATGCATCTCATCAGAGGGTTAATTTTTTTCTCATCCAAATAAACTGTTTTTTGAAGAGGTTACAAAATACTATAAAAGTTGCATGTCATGGAAATTATTTTTTTTCAGGCATCTTAATTTTATTTACTCTTTTGGTGCCTTCAGGGGATTTTTAGTCCTCTGATTCCCAATAGCATGAGTCAGCTGCCTTTGTTTGGAATGAGAGACAGTAGTGCATTATAGTGAGATTTTGCAGTCAGTGACTATTCATGCCAAGATGATTTTCCAGAGATAAGCAGGTTTAATTAGTTTGTTTGGATATAACAGGCAACTGCTGAGGATTGGTTAGAGATTGATAAGGGCTGATTAGTGCCTTTTTTCCCTAAGTAAGGTTTCAGGGTTTCTGGTGTTCAGAAAGCATTGTTTCCATAGCAAGTACCATGTCTGAAGTTTGGATGTTATTGCTGATTCTGTAGTTTGATTCCTATTAGTTGTAAGTGTGATTATAATTCTTCAGAAAAGCTTCAACTCAGAGAGCAAATAATGCAAAGCTGTGAAAGGCTTGTTGAGGGAGAAAAAAAAAAGAACTTTCAGCACAAAATCTGAATGTTTGGGGAAAATATGACTGATTTATAAAACCAACCTGGTGCTATAAAGACATTGCAAGTAATTACAGTCCTATTGTGTTAACGTTAAACAGGCACTGGCTTTCTGCTTGGTTAAAATGAAGGGGACAAACATGCCAGCAGCTGGCAAATACCAGCAGAACAGCTGCCAACAAAATTAAGTAGCTGCTCCCACATTGTATATTCCTGCTCTCTGCACTTGTGTTATAGGCACAGGCCTTATAGAATTTATTCCCCTCTGTTAATTTTCTATTTTTTGCCACTGTCTGTGACTTTCCAACATTAAAATGCCCTTATTCAAGTGTGCATCAGCCCTTTTTGCTTTTTTTCCAAGTGTTTGAACAGGATTTACTAGTGGTGATGGTTGTGTATGTTTCTCTGTTTACATACATCACTATGATTTCACTGTGCACCAAATATTACCCAGATGTTAAGACAGAAGAGGAGAGAGAGACACTGAGGGGAAACCCCAGTACCAACAGCAAGGCAGGGCCGAGGTTACACCCCATCAAGAGGGTAAATTCAGCCTTGGTAATAGTTGGCTGAGAAAAGGAAGATGGGGAATGTCACGGTGTTTTACCGAGTGGGTTGGAGCCTGCTTGTATTTTAATAGTCTTTTCACATTGCCACAAATATTTGATTCTGTAGCTGTTGTTCAGTTCTACTTTTCTACTAAGATTGATGAGACTGTGTGCAAGAATCGAGTTCTTCGATATTGGTTGTTTGCATTGCTGTGTATGGTGCTTCAGTCAGCCAAACGCTCAGGCATTCTGCTAGCTTTCAGCACTTGAATGTTTCCCTGGGAGTAACCAAGTCTTCTGATGTGCTTCAAGTTAGGCAGTCATGGAATTGTGACTTTTTTCCCAGCATCTGTGTCCAAGAAACAGATTCTCAAATTGAGTAAAGTCTGGGGTCCTAGCTATTAAATAATATGTTTCAGTAGCTATGGCTCACAAGTGTATTTTCATTTTTAGGAGAGAAAAACAAACTCCATCCTATACGTTGAAAGGAAGTGTTCGTAGTAGTTTGACGCTTTACTCCTTAGTAATCACAATCCCTGGAACGAATAAAACTTACTAATGAAGACCCTACTGTCAGGGTTCTGTTACAAAGGAAAAATATCTCAAGTGACAGGACTAAGAGAAAATACTGTCTACTGTCTTTCCCATATAGATGATTTCTCTAATATAAAATTATGACTTTATTATGAAAAAGTTATATTACTGTTGATGTAGTTTTTTGTGAAGTTCAAATAGCTGAACTGAAAGATAGTAATATATTAATTCTATAATTCTTTAATAAGCTGTGGTTTCTTTTCTGGATGTTTGCTTTCATTTCATGTGCGCACAACTTTTATCACGGTGCATAAATGCAGCGCATTGCTGGCTGTGTATATTTTCATTTTTAAGAGGATTAATTAGGGTGGAATCTAGGAGCAAAGATGTGGATTTTATATGCTAATATAATTTATAAAAGTAAATTTAAGTTTCCTTCTTTGCCAGTGTGTAAAAAATTAAATATTTAATATATTCTGAAATGTCTTTTTTAGCCACTTTTCTTGCTTCACAAAAATGTAATCGCCAGGGAAAATGATTCTGTTGAGGTCTGGAAATTTAGCTAGACACCTTTCTGAAATGCCAGTCTCCCCATTTCATTTCCAAGAATATACCTGACTTGCCTGGTATGCTTCATCAGTGCTTCATCTGTACATTGATCTCTTGATAGTGAGAGTCCAGCACCTTCTACATGGTGCCTTTCATTGATGGCAATTAGCACTACTGTAATCACGCTCAGAGGAAACTTCTGATGCAGTGTTGCTGAAGACCAGTTTTCTCTCCAATTTGCACTTGCCTTATGGCAGTATACTGTGTCTCTAGTAAGCCATTTCTATTCCTGAGAAGCCCTTTCAGATCTATCCAGAGTTGTCGGTTTAAAATTATTTTTCTCCAGATTCTAAGATGAAATGTTATGGGAGAACATAAGATCAAATATAACTGCAGTGTTTTATGCAAAGATACGTTTGGACGCTATATGATATCGTAATAGAGTATTTGTGGTAGTCAGTGAAAAAGAATGTACTGTGTTCATGTCTATTAGTGTCACCAGACTTTTACAGTTATTTCTATGTGACTGCATGTGCAAATAGAGCCACAGCAGTTAGAGAGTACAGTGCACAGGGAGTGTTTTGATGTCAGTAGTTACACATTTCACTTCAGAGTCCTGACTGAAGAGAAACCATGAGAGGAGGATGTTTATGCACTGGAAGCAGAAGGGCTTCTCCATCTAAAGATGCTAACATGTTCTACTGTGCTCTGGTGGCTTGGGGTCAGCAGGCACTAGAAGAACTGATGCAGCAGCTCTGGACAGGCACACCAGAGGATGGCAAAAGAAGATTCTTTTAAGTAGGGAATGAACTAAGGCTGCTGCGGAGTGACCCAAACCAGAAAGGTTATAAGTTACAGATTGATTACAAGGTGTATCAGGAGGGGGGTGGTTGTAGGTCGAGAGAAGTTCTCCTCACCCTCTACTCTACCCTGGTGAGACCGCATCTGGAATATTGCGTCCAGTTCTGGGCCCCTCAGTTCAAGAAGGACAGGGAACTGCTGGAGAGAGTCCAGCGTAGGGCTACAAAGATGATGGAGGGAGTGGAGCATCTCCCTTATGAGGAGCGGCTGAGGCAGCTGGGTCTCTTTAGTTTGCAGAAGAGGAGACTGAGGGGAGACCTCATTCATGTTTATAAATATTTAAAGGGTGAGTGTCACGAGGATGGAGCCAGGCTCTTCTCGGTGACAAGCAACGATAAGACAAGGGGTAATGGGCACAAGCTGGAACACAGGAGGTTCCACTGAAATTTGAGAAGAAACTTCTTCTCAGTGAGGGTGACAGAGCACTGGACCAGGCTGCCCAGAGAGGTTGTGGAGTCTCCTTCTCTGGAGACATTCAGAACCCGCCTGGACGCCTTCCTGTGCGACCTCATCTGGGTGTTCCTGCTCCGGCAGGGGGATTGGACTGGATGAGCTTTTGAGGTCCCTTCCAATCCCTAACGTTCTGTGATTCTGTGTTCTTTCTCGGAAAGATTTCAGTAAATATTTGGTCTTATGAGTTATATCTAAAAGGGAGAAGCTTAATCTTCGGAGTTTCTCTACAAGCTAGAGGTAAAGACCCTCTGTAACAAATAAGTTTTGTGGCAGTGGAAGGAAGGAAGTGCTCTTCTGAAGACCTCTGTTTCCACCCCACTCCGTCCTGTTTATCTCTTGCACAATCACTACCCCATCTCAAAATGCAGAGTTGCTCTCCTTTGCCGTTAGCTAAGCCTGAGGGACCAGCTTAGCACCTCCTGTGCTACCTCCTTTTGATTTCTTTACGCTACAGGTGAACTTGGCACACTAACACAGTGAGTCACTGAGTAGGAAATTGTATGTTAACTGTGCAAGCACAAAAGTGTTTGAAATTACCTAATGTACATTGGAGTCAGCTGGGTACATCCTTGATACGCGGCTCAAGACAGTAAGATAAATGCCAAAGAGGACGCCAGTGTCAACATCTGGGAGCTGGTTTAAGCTGACACTCCAAGGCCAAAGGATGGATGAGCTAATGCCAGGACCATATATGGCCAAAGCAAACCCAGAGTTCAACTAGCAAACAGTGTGAGGAAGACTATGCCCAGCCACCAGCAGAAGACTCTAACCCTAATTTTACTATGCGTGCTCGGACTATGTAAAAGAATTCTGGAAACCCATTAACGTGAGACTAACTTTTCCAGGAAATTTGATGAATGTTTTTTGTATTTTTCATGTATATAAGTCAGTATGTTTCGTGCACGCATTGTAGCACTCATGGAGGAGTACCCCAGTGCTACTCAGCTGTAGCAAAGGATACCTGCTTAATAACAACTTTGTTGTTATTGAGTTATTTATCTTAAAATCCTTGCCCAGCCTTACCTAGCCCCCCATTTTGGTGGGGACTGTTAAAAAGCAAGGGGGTTTTGGAGCTCCAAACTTTGTTCCAAACTAAAATATATATGCTAAGGACTTTCTAATTAAAACATTTCTACTCAAGAAACGTTAAAGCATTGTTTTTCAAGTAAAATAAACTAAGCTGGCTATGGCCTTTAACAGAAAAGTACTCATTCTGATATTCAGTGTTGTAATTCAAATCTGTGTCCAAAAATGCAGAATGTCTGTAGTATAAAGGAAAACTGTGTGTGCATTTGCTATGGTACTGAAAAATGCCTGCATATCGGTAGGAAACAGCAGTGCTACTCTGTTTTTCCCCCTTTTTCTTGTAGATTCTTATGTCTACAAATGGTAGTTGTGAGTAACATTTATGTTTTGTCTGTGGTGATTGTTACAGCTGCCATTCTTTTTTAATTCATATCAGTTTTTCAGTTTGGTCCATGTATAATATGTATAATTCCTGGATTATTAATTTCTGTATCTGTTTTTGTAGCTTCTGCTATATGTTCTCATTTTGTAAGTTCTATCCAGAGGAACTACACAATCAAATATCAAATCAAAAAGATGTTGTTAGCACCAATGCTTCCATTTCGGTCAAAGCAATTTCTGTGAGGAGGAGACCTCTTCTAGAGGTAGCACAAACAACCATTACTGCTTTAAATGTCTGCCAAGTGGACTTCCAGTCATTGCTGACTTGTGCTGATTCACACCAGCAGTCTGAAAATTAAAACATTTATGCTAGCTTCCAGCCCTTGGAACTGCTCAGACCTATTAATATGACAGTAGCACAGTCTGATTTAAACACTGCAGTGAGGAATTAAAAAGGCAGGAAGGAAAATCCTTCTTTATGTTCCCTCAACAGCCCCATGTTAAATGATGTTTAGGATTGTGAGGTACCATTTGTTTTCTTTGATATATGATATGATATATCTTTGATAATAAGATATGCCTTATTATTTGTGAAAAAACCTCTGTGCACATTCATCCAAAGGAAGAAAGGTTTTCACCATCAGTCACTTTAAACCTGTTAAGTGTTCAGCCATCCTTTAGTTAGTTGCTCATTGACCTAGCACTTCATAAATGCTGCCTAAGCATAGAAGAAAATGAGTGTGCTGTCAACAGGATTGCTGTAGGAAGGATAGCATCCTAAGCTTTAACGGCGGCACTACTTTTCCTCGTGCGTCTCCCAATGGCTGCCTGCTGTGGAACTTGCTGTGATGGACCCCAGGGTAACTAATACAGCTGACTCATATGCTCATGAGTAACTTGTACTTAAGTATTTTATGCAGTTTCTCAATGGGGAGTGAGGGAGGTGCTTACAGAGGAGCTGAGATGGTGCTTTTGTCTGAAAGTATTCCACTTGGGACCTGAGTTGAGGCTGCAGGAGTGTCTTCACATGTGTACTTACACCTTGCGCTTACATCACATCATGCTGGTGAATTTGGAGTCGTTAAAGGATTTGAGGAGCTGCTGTTGTGTATAGCTTCTTCCACGTATAAACCTCAAGCATATAAGTTAATAAGGAAGCTGCTATGAATAGCCTTATTCCTATGCGGCGTCTGTAAAATGCTTTGGAAGCATTTTCTCTTTAGGAGTACAGACCAGCAGCATTAGCTGTTCTTGGTGTCTACATAGAGTCTCACAATTTTTGTAGAGGAAGGAGCATGCTGTATTTTCTCTTCTGGCTCGCAATTCCCTTTCTCAGCCAGACTTGGCCAATGCTTCACAAACACCATTTCTGAGTAAGCATTGGCTGGTTCACTTCCCTGCTCATTGTTGGTACGAGGCTTGGCTCTCACAGTGCCATATTTCCCGCCACAATGTCTTGTTCTGCAAAACAGGACTAAATGCTGTTATCCAGGTTTGGAGTGCCAAGATAGAGCTCAGCACAGTCATCACAGGCCAGGTGAGGCAATTGGGCTCATGAGGTTTGGAAAAACCATGCATAGGAACAGTACTGGAAAGTCCAGTGTTGTCCTGCAGTTAGTGCTGGTATGTTTGGTGTAAGTTCAGAGTTGGTTGGGATTTAATGTGTTTGTATTTGTAATGAAGTCACTTTTTTCTGCTCAGTTCTTGGCATGGTCACCCCTCACACACTACTGAGCTCTCAGTTGTTAGTACTGTTCTTTAATGTAGAAAGTAGTATTTTGATCTTTGCAAGGCGTGCAGCTGCAGTTAGACTCTTCATGTCTGTAGTGCCTGTCAGAATCTGACCTTGAAGTTTTTATTGGCAGAAAACATCCCTACCAGTTGTGATTTTATGTGAATTCAATTTCAATCATTAGTTGGCTGATTGATTCCTTTTTTTTAATGTATCTTCTGAAAGCTGGGTTAAAAATTAGGATTGAATGTTTTAATGGGAATTCACCATTGGTTCATTCTGTGTTCTTTATTACTCTTTTCTAGCTACTGGTGCTACTTATAGCTGTTTTGCTTAATAGAGGAGGATCACAAAGACATTTTTCTTCCTTTCTCTCTTATCCTATGACTTTCTGGGATTTTCTAATATAACAGCCCAGTATTCCAAAGAGGGAATAAGAGCCTCTGCTCTTCAGGTTGATGAAACATCAGTATCTTTAGGCATCAAGAGGGGGGAGTGCTTCTTTTGTTTTCTTACAAAACAGTAAATACTGGCATATCAAAGTTAGCAAAAAAAGATAATATTTCCCCATTCCGACCTGAGGAGGCCCCACAGTGGATCTTATATGGGTTTTGGTCAGGGCAGTGGGATGGGGAGGGCTGGTAATCTAAATCTCACAAATCTGAAAGAGAAATTTTAGGAGGATGGAAAGACTGTTGAACATTTGAACTTGAAACTTGTTTATGGAGGCTTCACTGAGTCAGTATAGTGATTGGGAAGCAATGCCTGCTTCTGTAATACAGACGTGTAGCTCTTTCTAGACCCTCATTATTATCCAGAAGAAATGCTTAATGCTTAAAAAGAGACAAAAAATTATCCCCAAAATAGACAAAGAACTAAATGTTTATCTAAAATTACAATAACAATAATTATCTTCTTTTTTCCCCTCCATTCTGTTTTACTAGACTATTTTGAGGATTGTGGTCCTTGGCATATGGGATTACATTGAAAACAAAATAGAGGTAAGCACTCTTACTCTTTGTAGTTTTTTCTAGGCAGGCACAGAAGGAATATTAAGAACTGCTTTGGGTGGCTTTGTTACAGACCTGATACAATACAGTATCTTTTATCTCAGAGAAACATGCACATTCTTCGCATTATATGCATCTATAATTGTCATGTTTACCTCATTCCTGTAATCAAGTTGAAATTAGAACTGGTTGAAAAATGTGTGTAGTTTTCTAATAGAAAACACTGGTTTGGGAAAACCACATATTTTGCTGTGAATTTATTTTTAAATTAAATTGAGTTATGATAAACACTGTAATTTGTACCTCAAATTTAAAATTAGATAGAATGTGTATACTGTTGCAGAGGCAGATAGGGAAATGCGTGTGTTTAAAAGTAAACACACAATCCCAATCTGAGCAGAAATCTGGTGATCAGGAAAATTTGAAGCTCTTTCTTGATACTGTCTGATAAACTAATACTGCACAGGATGCACCAAAAGAAAATCTGGAGGCTTGCACATTATTGTAATAAAACTGTAAGCCTGTTTTGCTAAACAAACGAAGTGAAACTTTAAATTACTGATCCAGAGATTCTTACTGCTGAGGGTAAATGCATCAGTTTGATAATTTATTTTGGTAACTTGGAATGGAGTGATATTGTTCCCTGCCCGTCAAATGGTAGCAGTAAGAAGTGTTTCTTTTCAATACACTGAATTGTTACGCACAAATCTGAATGTGTGGTGCTTAAAATCTATGTCCTACCTCCTTATGCAAGCCATTAATCAATGGTCTTTGGCAGTTGGGAAGGGTCTCAGTAGGACTGAGAATGTGGTATGCTGTCCTACCCTGCTAGGCCAGTGTAGGACAGACACACCACAGACAGTTTGCTCTGGAATGTATTTACTTATGCATTTCTGTCTAGTACTTCACACAATTGCCTTTTCTGATCTAATCCCAATGTAACTAACGTCATACAAATAATTTTGAATGTCCCAGTTGTCAAAATCTTCGAAAACCTAGTGGCCCAAGAAAGATGAGAGCAGGGAGTCTTGATGTTCCCACGCACATTGTGTAGTCAGGATGTGGCCAAGAGCCATCAAGCCTCTTTGCTCCATCCTTTTCTACTTATCTTCTTGATCTCTTCATTTAGACAGTAAGACCTATGGGTAGGGACTGTATCCTCTTTTGGGATGACATTATGCTAAATAACAGGTAATAAATACAAACGATACTAAAACTTTGTCTGTAATAACATTTTGGATATCACTTCTCACTGGGGATTTTGGCCAGTATTTTCAAGTACTTCTCTCTCCCCCTCCCCTTCCACCACAGTTTATCTCTCCTTGCCTCATAAAATGCACTAAGGAATTCTGGGGTGCTACCCAAAAATGATGGAGCCTTTCTGGAGCTTGGCCATCTCTCATATCCCTTACAAATATGTACCATAATTGCATTTCTTCTGGGCAAAATAGGAGCCCTTCAAGACCACCAGCAGGAGTGGCAGGGTTGTGATCTTTAGGAAGAGTTTGAAAAAACTGATTTCTCTCTAGGTGTTCGATGGTGCTGTCATAATCTTGTCCTTGGCACCAATGGTGGCCTCAACAGTGGCTAATGGCCCCAGCAGCCCGTGGGATGCTATCAGCCTTATTATCACACTACGAATATGGAGAGTGAAGAGGATCATTGATGGTGAGTGGTGATTCAGTTTGTGACTCCAAGAATTACCTGGCAGGCTGGGAAAAAAGAGATTTTTAAAATATTAAAAGATTGCTTGCCACCACTGTTTCTATTGTTCTCCTTCCTTGTACATCTTAAAAGCACTGAAGAGAGTTATGACTCTCATAGAGGAGAGTGGGTCTGAAGTTCATGACTGCAATTCCTGTTCCCTATGAGCCTTTGTAACAGATCGGTTTGTTTTTCTGTTAAGCGCCTTCACATACCCTATCCTGTAAAGTTAATGCCCTGATCTGATGCCTGTCTCTTGCCACCAGATGTCATTACTGATTCTGCAAAATAATTGCTCCTGATCTGCTTTTTTGATATTTGCTGCATCCTCCCCATTTCCATGGGGGAAATGCCATGTGGGTTTGTGCTGAAGCATAATAATGAAGTGTGTATCAGTACTGTGGTCTCTGTGGGAGAGCAGCAGGGGGCATAAGAAAGCCCCAGCAAGACAAAGTTGCAGAGAGCAGAGCTGGGTGCTGTGCCTAGAAGCAAGGACTTCAGTGTAGGCTACTTTGTGTTCAGTGGTTTCAGGCATTTCAGGTTACAGGGAAAAGAGGTGGAAAAGGAATAAATGAAGGGTGACTTTGCTCATGTGTGAAAGATCAAAGTAAAGTTGTTATTTTGGGTTCGGGTGCCCAGGAATCTCTGTACTCAGAGTTGAGGAAAGGTCGTAGCCCTCTGACTGATGTGTACAAGTAAAGTTCAGGATCTTGTGTAGCTTCAGAAAAGAGCAAGAATTGCCATATGAATTGAACAGCTTTGCTGATCACTCTGAATTTGCCATGGTTATGACAGGTGCAAAATTTCCAGAGGCATTCAGAAGACCTATTGAAAACTGAGCTGTAGCTTGAAAAGCAATAGAAGATAAATGCCTTTTTGTTTTCTTTAATATCCTTCTTAGTCTGCTGTTTCCATTACGGACTTATTTCTTACCGCAAAATCTAGGAACTAAACACTTAGGGTTCTGGAACAGCTCTTTTCCTAAAGGAACCATGCTGTTCACGTTTAGGGGAGATGCGCCTAACTCTAAGAAAGTCTTCCTACCCAGAAATTCAGGAAATCGGTGGTAAACACTGGAAAAGATCTGTATTAGTGCTGCAGAAGCTAGAAATAGCATGCAGGATGCATTTCAGCTCAGCCAGGAAAAAGGAGATCTGACCAAACAAGATCTAGACCCTACTGATGACCTGCATTTCACATGTTAAAAATCCTTCTGGAGGTGAAATATTTTAGTGGTATTTACATAATAAATACTCTAGTTCTGTGGATGCAAGTGAAAGGGGTGACATTCTTTGGCCTGTAAAGGTTTTTCCACTGATTTAAAAAAACAAACAAACAAACAGCAAACAAAAAAACCCACCACAAATCACAGCTGGGTTACTCAAAGCGCTTATTTGTGTTTTCCAGCCTATGTCCTTCCAGTGAAAGTGGAGATGGAGATGATGATTCAGCAATATGAGAAGGCAAAGGTTATTCAAGATGAGCAGCTGGAAAGACTAACCCAGATCTGCCAAGAACAAGGGGTAAAGTTCCGATATGTCTTTATTTATGCATAGCTTGTCATGACAAATCAAACAGTTCATGTACTAGGCTTCAAGTTAAGGTTGCAGAAGTGTCACTAAGACTTCTGTTGTAAGGTGATAGGTCTCAGTGTTAAGGAAGTATTTGCTGCAGCCAGGATATTGTCAGCATGCCATTTGTCAAACAACAGTTGTCTCCCTCTGCTGCTGTTCTTGTGTTTAAGGTAAGGAAAACAAATGTGAGGAATAAAAAAAGAATGCTTCTAGTATGTAATTTATTGAATGAATACAAATAGGTTATAGAATACTAAGAACATACAAAAGTCACTGCCGTTGTTGGAGAGTGCAGCTATATTGAGGCAATATACCTAGGAAAAGTATATGCAGTTGAAAAGTAATGCATCTCTCTGCTTTAAATGCAGAAGGCAGCTTCCCTGTACATCAGTCAGAGACTCTTTTGGCAGACTCAGTGTTTCAGTAGAAGCTTCTAGTTGCTGGAAGAAAGTCAAAATTTAAGACTCTTCCCAGGCCCTCAAATAAATATTTAGTCACCCAGTCTTGAGACAAAGAAAGTGAAGCTTAAAGTATCTCACAGGAACGTATTTATGTGAAAAAGGTGTAAAACCACTGTTTGCAAAAATGCCTGGCTTATTGCCCAGTTTGTCTCCGTGCAAATGAGGTCCTGAATAACCTGCTTTGAAGTGGAAACCATGGATGTATGTTGAGGCCCAGGCTAAATGAGGCACTCAAGTGACCATCAAACCACAACAGAACGATCCCTGAAAGTGACTGTCTCCTTTCAGTTGTAAGGGTGACAGTGGGGTATCCAAATAAATCCTGAAGATTTCTAGCTTCAGCTCCCACTCTTCACCTATGATTGGTGCTTTTCAAATACAAAATGAAGAGCACTGTAAGTCTGAATGGCTCAATGGGTCAAAAACTGGAAGGGCCTGAGCTGACAGGAGGAGAGGCAACTTTTCCCAGAACAGACAAACTGCCCAAAAGGTGCATAATCTGAAGTAGGGATTTAGGTGCACATCTTTTACTGAGGAAGCTAAAATACTTGTGAAACCATCAGTATTTAGGTCCTCAAATGGCTTTTTAGATTTAGTTCCAGGTCTCCTGGGATTCTGCAGTGAACACTTGGTCTTAGGTTGCCTTGTCTGTGCAGTGAATTTGGAAGACCTGTTGACAGTGTGTGTCATTTCAAAACACTGTTTTTGAGTTTCTTATGTTAACTAGCAAATTTCTAAAACTTAAGCTTGCCTTTTGCCAAAAATTAGTTACTTCCAACTATGTAAGTATCTGCAAGACTGCAGTCATCTTCATCACAACTTTGCACAATGATATTAAATGATGCATGCTTCTGTTGTTGTTGTGAAATGAACAGGGAAATGGTGTATGCTCAGTTTTACAGGGGAGAGATTATTGTTCGACCAAGTGCATTAGACAAATCAGCAATTTCTTGGGTGCCATTGCAGTATTTTGTTTGTCAGACTATCCTATTAGGCTAAAGTTCCTGACAATCATAAATCTGAAAACATTCATTTTTAGGAAGTCTGTTATGCAGCCAGATAACACACTCAATCTCTAAACAATTTTTGGTGTTATTATTTCATAGTCTGTGAGTAAAGGTGGGCTTGTTATCCCAAGTGGATCTGCATTCTGATCTGTGGGCTCCTTATCTGCATGCCTGGTTTGCAGAATACCTGAGCATAGTAGCCCCAATCTGAGCTCTGATGGTTACAGCACAGCTGTACATCAAATGCAAAGAAGTACTGCATTGGTGGAAGAGTAAATCTGAAAAAAAGAGCAGGTTCTCTCCTAGCTTTCAAGTGTCATCAGCTATGGAAAAATACAGACTATAGAAAAATGACAGCATAGTAATCGCTCTTATTTTACTGTCCTGACTTCCTGCCAAACAAATATCTCAGCTATATAATATGAAGTAAATGTACTAATTTGCTACAGTTAGCAACATCAGACATTGACACAAGTGCTGCGTCCTTCCTTCCTAAATTAATAGCTTCATAGTTCAGTCAAGAACAAGTTGTCAGCATTATAATATTCGCATTAACATCGTGTACATTATCTGGTGGGAAAAATGCCTCCTAATTTTATTTAATGTATAAAATTCTGCCAGGTTTTTGCTTTTACATTTGATCATCCTTCCTGACCTTTTTAAATGATTGCTCGTTTTGTGGAGTTTAAGTGTGCCTGTCTGTGTGTATTTGAGCGAAAGGTTGCCTACAGTAGTCTTGCTGCTCTCAAATCTACTCTCAGATGGCTGGCAGGGCACAGTTCCAGTTTACCTTGTCTGTGTGGTGCTGCCTCTGGCACAGGCAGATGGAATAGCTGGGAGCTGCCCGTTAGAGGTTGGTTTGTTACCTCAGATACATGCTGGGGCACACCAGTGCCAGTCCAAGTGGGAAGAATGGGCAAGCCACCATGGTTGCCTAGATCCCAGCAGTGGATGTAGATAATAAGGCTGTATCTTGGTTTTAAATCCCAAACCGGTTTAGTTTGGGGCGTAAACCCAAAATAATCAGTGACCACTTCTCTGAGAAGTCCCATGCCCTCCTTTTTTGAAGCTGGCATTTAACACTTGACAGGTAAAAATGGAGTTCCTGTTTAAAAAATCTGAAAGCAGGAAAGATGCAACCTCCCTTCATCATACGTCTTGAATTCTGTTTCTTTTGTCAATTGTATTTTTTTTCAACAGTTATAGGGTACCACAACGATAAAGTACATTTCCATTCCTGAATGACATTGGAAATGTACTTTCACAAACATGAAAACTCTTTCCAGATGTTGTTTTTTGGTTAGCCATACATCTGAAAAACAGAATATATTTTATAAATTATAGTTGCACGGACCACCAGTTTTTTCTCTGTAGTACCCCACTGAAACTGTTTGCTGTTTTATTTATGTTCCATTAGCTAAGAAAGAAGTCATTAAAAGGCAGTGGAGCATGAGGGCAGTCAAGGCAGAAAATACTCTAAGGGGTGCGATGGCTGTGCAGGACTTCACGTAACATGAGAAACAGTAACAGGGATTTCTAAAAATGGGTAAAGTAAAAGGTAAAAAAGTCTCACTGCAATTGCTATCAAAAAATCCAAAGCATGTTGCCAATGGTATTGTTTTATCAGAATAACTTAAATTGCAATACAAAGTTCTGAAGTTCCATTGACAATGCGAATTCCATTCAGGGAAGATTTATTTTTTCCTCTGAAATCAATTGTAAAGGAATTTCCATTTCTGATAATAGATCTATTTACATGATCTTTTCTGCCTAACTTTCGTAAGAGTCATTCAACTGAGTACAGTCCGGCCAAGACTATGTATTCACCCTTATCACAAGAGCTTCTTTTCTGTCATCTCCTGTGGAATTGGGTTTTTCATCATTCCCAAAGCTGCAACAACTATGGAAACTATAATTTCTTTATCTTGGAATACGATTTGTATAACAGCTGCTAGTTTAATGACAAGGCTATTTAGCTGGTAAAATTACCTATCGGAGAAATAACTTATGTTATCCTTTTGCAATAATTTTAATTTATTTCTAACTACCAGTCATTTTCTTGGTGAATGGAAGGCAGCCAAGGTCATCCCGTGTTTCATTCTGCCCATAAATCATAAGTTTGCAACTGTCTTCTGATTTTTATTGTTACCAACAATGGCTAAACTAATGGAAATAAACATTGGATTGTATCCCAGTGGCAGATGAGTTTTAGGGCAGGGCATTCTGTACAGACAGCACTAATAGAATTGAGCAAAGTTATTGCTCCTGCATTAGACACGAGTAAGCTTCTGGCTAAAACGTTCATTGATCTCTCTGAAGCTATGTCAATCATACTCTGTTGCTAGACCATTAAAGGGAACTACTATACGATTCCCAGCTAAGTCCCTTTTTGAGTCCTATCTGCATGTTTTAAAGTATCAGATAGGATGGGTGGCACATTCTATAAAACTGGGCATGTCAACTGAGATGTTATATAGAGCTCTGGGTAGGTCTCTGTCATTTTACCTGCTTGTAAATAATCACCTAATGCATTCCTTGAGTGAGGAAGTGCACAGTGTGCCCCATGGTTGTTTTCTGCCAAAATATTGCTAAATTTATGCTATAAGAGGACATGTAACAGATTTTGAAAACAGCTAAGTTTAAATTTACCATCAATTAATTTTCTCTTCGTGCCTGACAATCTGGTTTTATATGGGATGATTTATATCTCCCTTTTTCTTGATTATAAGTGTATTTTCACATTATCCATGTGTATTACACCTTTATTATTACTGTCTTCAGCTACTTTATGGGAGAGTGTAGCCAGGCTCTTCTCAGAAGTGCAGAGTGACAGTACACAAGCTTGGAATATGCGAAATTCCTACTAAATATAAGGACAAACATTTTCACTTTGCTATTAGCAACCTGAGCTAAATAGACTTGCGTTAATCAATGTGTTGGGTTAGATGACCCTCACAGGTCCATTTCAGCCTAGGTTATGCTGTGATTCTATGAAGTTTTAAAGTAATTGTTTTCCATTGCAAAGTATGCTAGGAACTTATTGGTAAAGAAACCCACTGGAAGCTACCCAAATTATTTGTGATTAAAGACAATATCACAGATGTCCCGGTAAATAATATCAGTAATAGTCTCAAGTGGACCAGTGCTAGATCTGCAATTATCTGTAGTCAGGAGATGGTTTACCTTAGTCTCCTTGATCGCAACAAGTTATCTTCTACACCACAGTATTATTTGCCTGCTGGCTCTCTGTGGGATTTAGAAGGGTCTTAACACAGAGCTGATACCTGCAAGTCAGTCTTAATTTAAACAAATCACATCACGTGTATAGTATAAGTTTGCATGCTTTCTTTCCTTCCCCCCTCATGATTTGCATAATATGCAACTTTTTTTTTTTTACAGGTTGGGGCAAGAATGGTCTATCTGAAAATATGAAACATGGTTTTCTCAGTGTAGCTCTTCTGCAGTACTCTATATTAGAGAGGCCCAGTTGTGCATTCAGATAGCTACATCAGCTCCTACTGCAAATAGTAATTTCATGTGTTTAACTTAGCCCAGAATTTTTACTTAAAAAGACTGTTATATTTTATACCTCTTAATTATTTATATAACCTGCCCCAGACTGCATGACACGCAGTCAGAGCAATCTCATTAGTTCTTTTACACATTAGAACTGCCCAAGGTCAGTGTTTGATAGAATATTCAATAGATATAAGTAACTACAACATAATTTGCTTCTGTAGGCTCTCATTGAATTATGCCCATAAGGAAGGAACACCCACTTCTCTTAAGCTTAACCTTTGTTTTTAGTGGGTTGCTTTTAGTGGCCGAAACTGTATTCCAGCTTCTACAATATTGTGGGATAATTTTTACGTCATAATGGGAAACAATTAATATTGAGTGAATGTCCTGAGTAGATGCATGCCTTTTGTGAGCAAAAATCTCTGTTTCTTGTTTAACTTTTCCTAGATACTTTATTGAAAGTACTTTCATTTTCTTAAATCAATCATTCTGATGAATAGTGATTTTTCCATCCTACCCAGTCCCTTTTTGAACATGCTAGAGACTTACGGAGCTTGGGTGTGCATTCGGAAGTTATACATTGAGTAGGTTTTTGACTCTGCCTTATGCTCTGTGACTGTAACAGTGTTATGGTTCTGCATCTCTGTGGAACATGTTGCGTGGATCCCTTTACATCAGTAATGGTGAACGTGAGGGTGAGACAAACACTGTTATTACAATGAATATGCTCTTCTCTGTCAATAAAAAAACAGCAGTTACACACACAACAGTGTTTCATTCCAGTTCTCTGCTGTTTTAATGACTACATAGACTTCAGGGCAAACATGAATGAGACCTGGAGGCTGACAGTCTGAGGTAATGGAAAAGTGGAAGGGAGAGCCCATGTTAACCAGGTGCAGCTGTGTGGTTGTGTAGGCAGCATCAATTTCTGCTATTATCTTTCTGAACATCTCTAGGTGCTACTATTGATTGTGCACATGATGGTGAAGTTCAAAACACTCTGCTGCTTTAGTGTACCTAGGAATTCAATCCTTATATCAGCTTTTGAGAGTCTCATGTTCAGTTCTGGATTTTAGGCCAGCTGAACTCAGTGTTAAGAGCTGAAAATTAAACAAGCATATGGATTGTGCTTGCAGCTAGCAATAAAAGAGGGTTCACATATCACTTAAAAAGTTGCAAGTCCTGCATACCCTTCTCAGGCAGTGGATGAGGGAAGCATTGCATGAGCCACGACATCAGGTCTAGGCTTCGGTTTCTGCTAGAATGCGATGTTTGTGCGATCTTCATAAGCAGGTGCTTCCTTTGCAGCTGGACAGGCACAAGCATGTATTTCTGCCTTTCGAACATAAGATGGCAGCAAAGCCCCTTCTGGTTTTGACCAGCGGTAGTAGCTGTTCACTGTTCACTGTTCACCTCAGTAACTAGTGGTCATTTTCTGTGGATGCCAGATTCTCGTGCTGTCTGTGTGGCTGGCATTCAACCAAGATAGTGATTTTTCCTATATAAAGAGGAACTAGAGAATTGTTTAGACAAAATGCAGTTGTCCAAGATTGTGATGATCCCAGCAGTGGTTTCATACTTCTACTTGGTCCAGCACACCAGGCTGAGTAGTTCATAGTTGTTGGTAGAGCGATGTTAAACAATAAAATAGATGAACTCACCTATTAAAAGCTGGATGGTGAGTGGGCATGGAAATTTTAAAGATCAACAGTAATCTGTGGGTATTTGGAAATGCTTGTGTAGTTGATTGAAACTCATAAGTGGGCATCAGGAAGTCTGGTCTTTTCTCCCATTTTTTGGGAGGTTCAGGAAAGATCACCCAGTGTGCTTCCTTTTTCACATCTGTAGTATGCAGTGATTCCCTTCCCTTCTTGAGCTGATTTTTAGGTAGCTTTATCTATTTGTGTTACAAAATACCTGCCAATTTTTTTCTCTTCCATGAAAAAAGAAATCATATCCTGCCTCTAGGCCAGAATTAAGCATTGTAGTGGCAATATTTGCCGCACAGGAATGTTTCTGAAGCATGAAATGTGAAATGTAGAAAAACAGTAATAATGCCTAATTCTTATTGCCTTTTAGTTTGATCTAGGCAAGTAGGTATGGTTGGGCAATTATTATTTTTTTTTCCCAAATCTCCAGATTTAATTTTTTGCCTGTTGTGTTTGAGTGCATTTCTTTCTTTAAACCAAGGGTGTGTCTAAAAGGTTATCTTTCTTCCTTCAAAGGTGAAATGTAATATATTTTGGGATTTATTTTTCTTTCAAGTCAAGGATTAAACCTGAAATTCTCTATCTTGTAAAGCTGAATTCCAGACAGTCCTTTCATGGCTGAATGACACATTGGTACTGGCACCACAGGTGCCTTAAGCCTCGGGAATCTTAGGAGTACCTGGGGC